GTCCTAAAAGGGGCCGCGTCAGCCGCGATAAGTCGTCGGAACGGAGGACGGCTTCCGACCCGCGCCAGTTTACACACCTCGTCCCCTGTCTGCCATACTGATATCGACACGTACAACCGTAAACAAGTTCGCGCGGTGTTGAATGTGGTCGAGAGAAAGGAGAGACCTCTGTTCGCCTCGTGTAGGCAGACGCTTTATCCTAGGACGCTCGAACAAACATGGAAATCAAGCGGCCTGTATTTGGTTCTTCTCCTCGTACAATTCTTGGGAGCCTTAATTCCCAAGAATTGCGCGAGGAACTAGGGTTCTAAATGCAGGCTATAGATCGCGGAGAGAACCTGGTAAATTGAACGGGACAAGCTGTTCGCGGACTCCGGCATCGGGAGCGAGGCCGTTACCCGATCACGTGATGTTTGGCGCTTAGCATACGTCACTTGACAACACCTCGACAACCTTATACCAGGACAGCAAGTTGATTCGTAAAATTGTAAGAATACTCCCTGCAACGCAATCTATCAGGTAATTAACACCGAAGCTCAACATTTCCGAGCCCAAAATTTCCGAGCCCGAGCCTTCCAAGCGGACTGACGATGGCATCGTCAAGCCTTAGGACCCATCTTGCCCTGCATCGCCCAGTTGCGAATCCTGTTGTACCTGCGTACCGTGATGGGCCCGGCGCAGGACGGACATGTTGGCGGCGCAAATTCGCGAGCTGCTGGAGGCCGTCTGGCTACACTCCATCTTCCACTGCCGTCCCTGTCATAGAAATCGTGCAACCTGTAATGATCGTCCAGATATTTGATAGTGTAGATGTGGCCACAGTCAAGCGATACCAAGCGGTTGGAGAGTCTCGGGGACCGGAGTTCGATATCTCGCAGCTTCTGCGTAATGTTGACTGTAGGAACCGTCGTCTGCGCAGAGAGGCAGGCAGGGGCATTTTTGGTCTTCGCAAGGTTCGCCGCAGACTTCAACACAGCTTAGCAACTGAAAAATCAAAAATTAAGCGATAGCGCACCAGAAGGACACACATGACCGCAGTTCAAAGTTTCTATGCACGGCATATCACAAGGGAGACGCGCGCAGGGCTAGTAGAACAGACGTCAGGATAACAATCTTGCGACAAGCCAATAGACGTACCGTCTCGCAGGGCAGCGCGCAAACCTGATGGCCGCAGCTCCATTCGCAATGTTTGTCGCACGGCTCACATTGCACGGAACAGTTCTCTTCGCAGCGCTGGTAATGACCGCAAACGCGCAGGCACCGCTGGTCGCACGCTTCGTTGCACTTGTGGCCCCGGGAGCAATCAAGCCCACAGGTATGGCCGCAGGACAAGAAACGTTCGCACCGGTGGGTTGCGTGCTTCATCCGTACGAAAGCGCCTGTAGGAGGCACCGCCATGCTATCCGATGTCGCCTTTTGGCACATGTGGCAGGGTGACTTGCATCGCTCGCCACAGCATACCGTCGTTCCTCCACATGGGGCAGCGCATTTGTGCTCCGCGATGTTCGTGCTGCAGCTGAGAGTGGGCGAGTGTTCGCAGTGCGGCAGCGTCTTGATGACAGGCACGGTGCACTTGACGTCGTCCAGCCTGTCTAGTAGATAGCTGTTCGAAGTCTCTCGTGAGCCCCTGTGTTTGTTTGAACGCACGTGACTTACCATGGGACTTTGTCCTTGACGTGCCCACAAGGCAGCTTAATGCTGTTGTACGGAGATTCACAGTTTCCGCAGAGCTCGTGGCATTTGCGAGGGCAAGGGTGGCCCCGGGGACAATCGACCCTCGGGCAGGGCTCAGGGCATTTAATACTGCGATGATTGTCTCGAGCGTCGTGACACTGGTGGACATACTATCATTATATGATAATACGGAGAACCAGAAAGAAGAACTCACGACGGAGGGGCATACATGGCCGCAGGGCATCTCCATCAAACAGGGAATACGACATCCTCCAGCGGGCGCGACTTCCTCGAGCTTTCCAGGTTGGGAGATGGCGTGCACTTGCTCCACATGACGGGGACATATGATGGGAAAGCCAGTGCCGGTCTGTCCGCGGATCTCCATTTCATCGAGGACGGTCGACCACGTCGGGTTCTTGCGTAGATTCGAAATATTACCAAGAACAAACAGCCCGTGCTTGGCGCGAGAAAGGGCAACATTTATTCTGTTGGAGCTCTGGAAGAACAAGATCATCGGATGTCGGGGTGCAAAAAGGTGCAGAACGCACTTTGAGGAACCCAATAGATGCGGATTCGCATTCGTCGGTGCCGCTGTTGCGAACGAGAGAGACGATGACGATCTTTGCTTCTCTACCCTGAAAGATGTCCACGGTACCAAGTTCGATCTACGCACAAGTCAGCCAGGCGACAATATCGGATCATGCGATAGCCTTACGTGCTGGGCGACGACAACGTCATCGGCGGTAACCTCTTCATCCATATCCTTCCGCAGAAGTTGTTCTGCGTCCCGTTCATCCATAGTGACCGCAACGCGGACTTCCCGCAGCGCCTGCCGAACCTTCTGCAGCTGGCCCAGATATGCGCAAAGCACGGCAATGTCTCCAGGAGCGTTATAATCTCCTTGACGCAGGAAATAGAGCACGAGATCCTTGACCATGCCCACCTACGCAGAAGTGAATATCACAAGGGCGACCTCCAGGTTCCAGGTCAAGGTACGAACCTCGTACACGTTGAACTTCGAGACCGATTCCTCCGGAGAAGCTTCAGGTTGCCTGTGGTCGAGAAAGAAAACATTGCTCCGCATGCCGCGCACAGGTGGGTAGTCGTATACAAGAGAATGGTCTTCAAGTGCAGGGTAAAGGATAGTTCTGTTCCAGGCTTGAACAGCTCTGGTGACCATCGGATGACAAGACCGATCTTACCTGATGAAATGGGAGATGTCCGGCCTCATCCGTCGTTGGACGTTGATCTGAGTCATGGTCAACGACTCGTCCGCAAGACGCTCCATGAGCGATCTGTCGAACTTGAACAGGTCCCGGCCACGCGAACTGTCCATTGACAAAGCTACATGGCATTAGCGACGACCCATCGTTTGGGGATAGCCTTCCTACGCACAGAAGTTGGTGACATTAGGGCGAAGTTGTGCTGGATCGCCGATGCAGATGAGATGTTGGACTGAATATCGTGGTTAGCACGGTCCAGGTCCACAATATTATGAAACATACCAGAGGATACCAAGGACGTCAGGACGTGTGCCTCTAGAACTTGACCAGCTTCTTCGACAAGGAGAACTTTCGGCGCAACGCTCTAAGACGCGCAAAAATTAGTAAGCGTACAATCTAAAATGATCTCTAAATGGTGATATACCGCGAGTACCGACGTCAGCTTCGCGGCCCCTAGTCACACATCATTCTCATTAGCCTACTTTGACTAGTAATAGCACAACACTAACCTGTGGTCGTGCACGCAATCAAATCCACTTGACTGAGTATTCGGCGCCTCTTCTGCAAAGATGCAGGGCGTCAGGACATTCAGGCTGTTCGAGAACACGACCTACCTCGTCCCGAATGTCGTTGAAATCCTCGCAAGCCCTCTTATATTGATAGCGCAGGGAATTATATCGACTCCGGCACTCGTCGAAGACAGACGTCCGAACACTGTCCTCCCAGAACCGCGAGAGCTTCTGCCGTTCCTTGAGTGACATTGACCATATCTCACGGGTGCTCTTGAGTGCATCAAGAGTACGGTCCGATGTTGGTACCTTCTGGAGAGCCGCCGAAAGCCCGAGGGACGTCAGTAGACGTGCAGAGGGTGAGTCCGAGTTGCCGAGCAGATCGAGGTCGACGCCTTCTCTCCAGGTGCCATAAATAGTGCCCTTGTACTGCTTGATCTCCCGCTCTCTGCGCCTGTCAACCTTGGTTTGCCATTCCCCGTGCTCGGCCTCGTCACCTTTGAGATGCTCGACCAGCTTCTTGATCCACGCCGGAGGTTGAACCAGCTGATGTGCTTGTTTTGCGTGGTGCTTCTCGAGATACCGATGCATGACCTTCCATGCTGGACGGCGGCATTGCATGAATCGCATCACCTTCTCGATCTCGCCCTCCAGCTCCTTCATCTCTGCGTACGACCTCTTCAGCGAGCGCCCCCAGTTCGGAAACATCTCGTCCGCGTCCTTCTCGAGCTTCTCCAACGTGTGGGCGCTGACCACCTCGTTTGTACTCTGCGATCCCAATCGTGCGATATTTGTCGTGATATCAGACTGCAATACATCTTCTAGCAGGTGATCAAGTGCGTGGTTGGTATAAGCGATGAGCACTGTGTTTGCTGGTCAGACGCGCATATAGCCAGCATGCATCACGCTCACCGATTGGTTTGACCCCACTCTTGATCAGCACCCGAAGGAGCTCCCGGCCAGTATAGCTCTATATAAACGCAGTTAGCGCAGTGAGCGGTACAATGCTCGCGCACACCGACTTTGCCAGTTCCAGGAGGTCTGAAGTCGTCACAGTCAGCATAGCTCATTGAGCGTGTAGCCACACAGATACGTACCCTTGTATCAGCGATACTTCCCTGGTCAACGAGTGCACGACCGCGTCGACTTGCGACGGGTCCAAAGTGCTGTGGTCTAGGAGCTGCTGCCGTGCACTCTGAATAGCGCTCGCTTGGGAGACGTCCATATCCGCAACATGGTGCGCCTCTATGTTCTTTGCCAAACATTTAAGCTTGAAGCGGAAGTCCGGCGCGGTCGCATACTTCGGAAGCGACACCTCGATCTCCGCGAGGGAGCCGTCCGTGAGGTACCGAGCGAATGGGACGTCTGCGGGTTCCATTGTCTGCAGGCGCGCGAGGAAGGGGCGCGTCGCCTCGTATACGATGTTATTGTCGACGAGGAAGCCGTACGCATTGTCCGCCTGAATTG